TCTGTATTTTAGAAGGGTTGAAGATTTAGAATGAAAGAAAATGTGGCGGTAGGGTGTGCCTATTGAGAACTCCTTTAAAAAGTAGCCCTAGTAATGTCTGCATTCATGGTATCATCTTATGGACACCGAGCAGGTACCGGCTTTGCTTTCCACCCTGAGTTTCCAACATCAGCCCTGGCATTTCGAGGGCTTTCATATGCCTATACTGTGACCAAATCATTGTGACATCACCAAGTTCCTAGTGCCATGATCTTGTGCCATCTCTGAGCCATACCACAGCTAAGAGGGCATAGCAATGCCAAAAAGTTTGAGCTATGAAGAGTTTCCAAAGAATATACGTGGGAAGGTAAAGTTCTTATCAACACACTATGTCTTGCCCATGTCCCTATGTTCTCTTGTATTGACATTATTGTACCTTTTGTTGTGAAGCACCTTCAAACTTTTTCTGAAAAGAGACAAGTCTATAAAGAGGTAAGTGTGTGTCTGTCAATGTTTAGTGACCAACAACTAGTTAAAACATCAAAATATTTGTTTGGGGTTCATAAAATTTGATTTCCTTTTTTGTTTGATTGTCTTGATTATGGGAGATTGGATTTCCATAACAATCTGCGTTAGCATATTCTGTCTTATTTTCAAGCTCAATCATGCTGTCCCAAACCTAGCATGATCTGAAAACTAATCAGTGTAGGTTTTTTTCTAGGAATAGCTAAAGAAGGTGGGCAAAGACTTTATATTCATCTTTCTCTCAGGAAATGATCCCACCTTAACAGCAAATAATGTTCTAATCCTCTTTGTTTTTATTTGTTCATTTGCAACGATTCTGTGTCTGAAGTTTTATTTCTTTGCAGTCCGTTTACTGCTTTCTCTTAAGCTGAGTGTGACTCTCCATACTCAGCAGCCATTAGCTTAGCCAACATATCCTCGGCTTATTTAAGTTTCACGATTCATATCGTGTGACTTTTCTGCCCAGCATCCTATTAACTGTTTGAAAGCAATGTGCCATTGAAGTGTTGTGGCCATGTTTCTTGCTTTGTTATTCTCCCCAGTGGATCTCCAGCTATTGATTCTGTTTGCAGTTGAGGGAAGATTTGTGATGTTGCCTCGAGTTTGATGCTGTCGGTCTTTGGTGATAGCTCCCTCTTAGGTCTTCAGTATGTTTCCGACATGTGGTGTGTTGCTTTCAAACTTTTTCGAGCATTATATCTTTGCACATCTTTTATTTAGGTTGAGAGCAGCTCTTCAAAAGTAAATTTGTTCACTCTTTCTATGTTCAGAATAGATTCAACAATACACTTGTAATTGAATTTCCTTAGTGTTTTTAAAATATCCTTATGGCACATACTCATTGCATTTTTTTCCAGATAAATCTTAACCATCTAAACAAAAATTTTTGTGGTACTCTTATTTTAATAATGATGTTGGGTAATATCCTTTGAGTGGAAGGAAAAGCAGGTGTTAGTATATTAAGGGTATAGGAAGTAATTTCTCTGATATTATAACTGTCCAGGTTGTTAAATTTTGAAATTGTATATAATTACTTAATACTTGACTCTTTAGCATTCAGTATCAGAGGCCAGGCATAGTAAGGCACACCTTCAATCCCAACACTCAGGAGGCAGAGGCAGGCAGATTTCTGAGTTTGAGGTTATCCTGGTCTACACAGGGAGTTCCAGGAAAGCCAGAGCTATTACACAGAGAAACCCTTTCTCAAAAAACAAACAAATAAAAATCTTTCAGTTGATGTTTCCATAGTTCAGGATAAATGTATTCATACTGATATTTAAGTTTCTTTCCGGTTATAGAAGTAAGATCTATTCATTGTGGGTAATAAAGAATAGTCCAGATAAGAAGTATTGCCTCATTGTACATCATAGCCACTGCTAGCATTTCAGCATGGTTTCCACTTTACACATCTTTATAACACATACTCCAGTTTCTGTCCTCTACCTCTGCTTCCCTCTCCATCCTTTCTTGCTTAAAGTAAAGAACTATCTCCACTTGTATTTTGACTTGTAACCCCCCACTACACACTCAGTGGATATTTTGATTATTTAAAATTCATTTTTTAAAATATCAGTTTTTAATGATTCCTAATGTCTGATCATGTGGCTAGGTCAACATCTTTGATTTTATCTTTTGCTAAAATCTTTGTGATTACTTTTCTATTTTTGGGCCTTATCTTATTTCCTTAAACTCTGTTATTTTTCCTTTGTTGTCTATTTACATAATTCTTTTTCTTAGATACTTGACTCTTCAACATTCAGATTCAGAGGCCAGGCATAGTAAGGCACACCTTCAATCCCAACACTCAGGAGGCAGAGGCAGGAAGATTTCTGAGTTTGAGGTCATCTTGGTCTACACAGGGAGTTCCAGGAAAGCCAGAGCTGTTACACAGAGAAACCCTTTCTCAAAAAACAAACAAATAAAAATATGAACTTTTTAATCTTATCTTAATATCTGCTACAGTTGAATGCTTTAAAGTAAAATTATCTTGTCAGTAAGAGTAACAATGTTTATGGACAACTATTGCCATGTTGCAGTTTGGCTGGACATTTTCTAACATATCTACTTTTTTCTATTTCAGAAGTGTTTAAGATATACTTGTTGTTACTAGTCTTTCTCCCTCACCTTTTAGTGCATGTATTATTTTTTAGTGTATATATAATTTAGGTATCCGATTGATTTGGGGTTCGTCTCCTTACAGCCTAGCAGCCCTGCAGTGAATGTATTCTCATGCTGCCAGAATTGCTAAGAAAGTCCCCAAATAGAGAAAGTTCACATTTTTGTGGCTGTGTACAATTTTAGGAATTGCTGTGTGTTGTCAAATTAATGCTTGAAATGCTTAGGCCATTTATATATCTGACAAGCAATACAGATGAAAACCCACTTTCCTGTGTTCTTGCCAGTATTGATGATTATAATCTTATATTTTGTCAATTTGGAAGATGAATAATACAGCACTTTTTTAATCTTTATTCTTTGATTCTGCACCTGTATTGTTTTTTGTACCATTATTATCTGTAAATGGATGTGAATTGTATCATTTTTGGCTTTTGTTAAGAAGGATAAGGTTTACTATTTAAATGAAGTTCCTTCTATAGTAGTGATGTTAACTTTCACAGTTATATCTTCGTGTTTTTGTCCTCTTTGTCACTGGCCTATTATTATTATTATTATTATTGTTGTTGTTGTTGTTGTTATTATTTTGGTCTATGAATGTTGTGAATGCAGTAATTTTCAGTTTTATTTATTTATATTGTCAGTATGCATATTGAATTTAGTTTTTTCTCTTTAGATCAATTGATCTTAACCTGTGGGTTGTGACCACTTTGGAGAGATAGGTGTTGAACGACCCTTTCACAGAGGTCACTTAAGACCACTGGAAAACACAGATATTTAAATTATGATTCATAACAGTAATAAATGATAGTTATGAAGTAGCCACGAAAATAATTTTATGATTGGGGGATCACCGCAACATGAGGAACTGTATAAAAGGGTCACAGCATTAGGAAGATTGAGAACACAGATTTAGGTGATATTTTTTCTCACTTTGCATTATTTGTTAAAGCTTTTTCCTACATTTTTTCCTTTGTGATTCTAAAAGACTAGTAAAGTTTTTACCGTACCTACCAAGAAAATATAGATTACTTGCATATGAATGTCTTTTTATTTAATCTTAGTACTATATGTTTCTTATTGTTCATATGGTTTCAAGTAGCATAAACATGTCATTTGAAACTTGGTACTTAACCTTTAAGAGCACAATGACACTTAAATGTATTCTAAATTAGCACATCTTGTATTTCCCCATTATTATGAGGATTATTTGGGTTTGTATTTTTAATATCTTCTGCCAAATTTAAGGGGAAAGTGGTATATACACATGTATGTATATATTGCTAAATATCTGTTTAATTTTTAACATGCTGCAGGATATTGAAGATAAAGTAAGTAACAACGACAAAACCTACAAATGAGCAAATGGATTAATGTAAACTAAACAAAAACTTGACTGAACAGTTACTGTTGTAGAGTGAGCCAAGCAACACTTTACAAAGGAATATGAAAATATACAGAGATGGAAATGCCAAAATACATTGATTTCTTCTAAGTAGCAGTCCAACATCTATTTATCCTTCAGTGAACACACAACTGTTGCTATAATAACGTGGTTACTGTGAAGTAATATTATAAAGAGAGGTCTTTTCTGTTTCAGGACCAAAGATCACTTTAGCATAATTACGGATACCAAACAACAGTTTAAAAATGTGTGTATTCATTCTAACTAACCTTGACATCCACAAGTAGAAATCTTTATTAGTTTTATAAGGAATTTCAGAGTATTGCTTTCTTAAGTTTATAAAATAAGTTCTTGTAAATTGCTATCATAACTAAATGTCTTAAATTACTTTATTTTACTTATTATCTTAAAATTTTCAAAGGAAGAATAAGCCATGATTATGGTTTCTCCATACTTTAAGCTGCTACTTCTTTGTGTGTAAGGAAATGAAATGAACACATGCATCTACATACAGATTGCACTGATCAATTAAGGGTTCTCCAATGTAAGGTTCATGTGCATGTGCTATTTCGGCAGTGTTTTGGTTATTTATTCAGGATTAGCAAGCATGTATCTAATTTCAAGTATCAGATCAAAGTTTCATTGTGCAGACTATTACTCCTTAAAATTACTCTTTGAAAGATAAGTTAAATAAGACAGTCTGCTCTACACTGTATTCTGACATTTCCAAATACATTTGGACAAAGTAGGACACAGCTGTTAAAGTAAGAAAAAAAATAAAACAATGCAGTTTTATTCTTTACATATAGATGCAGCAATCATCATCATATTAATATTTTTCTATGGCAGAGACCTAATAGACTGCAATGAACGTCAGCTCTGTATATATTCATAAAGCAGTTTCTGCCTGAGTTTTGCTTCGTGGTTGCTGCTTTTGCCTTTTCTCAATATAGTATACTCCTCGTGTCTTTTTTAGGCTCGGCAGCTGGAAGAGAAAGATCGAGTGATACGGAAGCAGGATGCCTTCTACAAAGAGCAGCTGGCCAGACTGGAGGAGAGGGTATGGCTATTTCCTATCATTGCTTCTCTTCTCGCTGCATCTGTAGCTCCCCCTATATTTGTTTAAAAACCAACAATTAGCACTACAGTTCCTTGTCCTGGTTAAGAAGTGAGGAGGCTAAGCAGCTATGTCATTGTCTCCAAGAATGTCATTTTGTGTGTTTGTGAGGTTGGGTTAATGTTTGTTGTGTTTTCTGTACCCAAGAACTCTCTCACATAATTTATCTTATATAATGTGTTGTTTTCTGCCTCTCCCCAGGCCAAACAGCAGCCATTTTTTTAACTTCCCCAAACATTGTCTATAGTACATTTGAGTGCATTCTTGGACATGGTACTGCTATTTGTCATATTGGGGATTTTAGATGTTGTTTGTTCATCTATTTTCTTTGTGACTTTGAACCATTGTCTGTCTTGAATTCACTACACATCTAAGGATGACTTTGAACTTCTAATCTTCCTGCCTACACTTTGAGTGCTAGGATTACACATGTGTGCCAGCATACTTGGCTTGAGGTGGTCCTGTTTTGAAGGATATGCTTTCAATGAAAACCCCATTTTGTTGCAGTTACAGCTTACAATTCAGTGTCTCCTTCAAGAGTGGTAACAGGAGCTATAAATATATAGGGCTTAGAGGAGAGATGTAAGTGAGGAGGCATATGCCTCATCAGCCTGTATTTAAAAATGGACCAAAGCACAGCAGAGGGATCGGGACTAGAGGAATACAAGACAATGGTTTAAGGATGATGTTTTAACATTTTGTTAGAACCCCTGTTCAGTGAAATTGATTTGGTGCTTAGATTACCTTTATATAGAATCCATGGAATTGCAAAGTGATCCAAAATTTGATTTATTTAGAATATGACATTTGATCAAATGTAGGGAAAGAAAGAAATGCAACATTTAATTCTCCTCAATGTAGCTATTTGTATTTCAAACATATCTCCTTGTCTTCTTCCCTGTTGCAGGTCAGCACATCTTGACACTTACACACCTGATGTGTGTCAGGTGCTGGGTTTCGTGCCCTAGACGGATAAGCTAAATGTCTACTTTCATGGAGCTTAAAGTCAGTTATGCATAGTATATGGCAGCATAGATGATGAGGAAAATAGTAACTTAGCAGGACATAGGAGTCCCTCAGCCAAGTGTAAGCCTGGGCTTGCATGAAGAAGGAAGAGCTATATAATGGGATATCAAGGAACAGGCCTTTAGTCAGAGGGAAGCAAGCCAGGGTCACTCCTGAGATTGGGGTGTACTAGGCACATATGGGAAGGACAGAAGAAGCCTGTCCATCAGCAAACAGGTGGCTATCTTGGGCAAAAGTTGAATCAAGGGAGGCTTGACAAAAGATTAATTTAGAATTGGGATGGCAAGCCAGGCATGGTGGCACACACCAGTTAGCTCAGCACTTGGGAGATGAATCCAGGAGGATCAGGAGTTCAAAGTCCTCCGCAGCTGCACAGCCGGTTGGAGGTTACATTGAGCTACATGAGAACCCTATGGGAGTGGGGTTGCAGGGGAGGGAGGAGGTAATTGGATGGCCATAGCTACTGGGGTGCTAGCAGTGATGATGAACAAGTTTCTGATTGTGCAAGCCAAAGGGAGAGACCAGGTTTGATCATAGTTTTGACAGTGAGTCAAAGGAAGGCTTAGATATAATCTAGGTCTAGTGTTATAACTAAGAAGGTAGATGTGTCTATAGGGAGGATTACACAGATGTCACTTAGGATATGGGAGGGAGAGTACCTAAGGGGTTTGGTTTGGGAATTATTTATGGTGCTTCTTAAAATGTTCAAGTAGAGATGTTGAGTAGACATACTATGGAATGATTTAGAGAATGAATCAGTGATAAAATCCCCACAGTAAATATTTTAGCTTACACGTGGGCTTCATTTCATCCTCTTATGTCTCCCTCTGTAATGTAGAAGCGAAAGGGACTGTATGTGTACTGAAGTTCAAATCTTGTGTAATTTTACATCATAAAATTAAAAAAAATTAATCATACATTCTTAGGACTGTCCCAACCAGCAAGTGAGCTTGACTTGATTTGTAGGTTGCAATCTTCAGAAGTGCCATTTAGAGAACCAGTTCTGATGTCATTGTCTTTCCTTCACAGACTAGGTAATGAAAATCCTAGCCTCTCAGTTTCTCCAGCCGCTAGGAGGAGGGAGTATTATTTGTATCACTGGCTTGTTAAAATGATCTGAATAAAGGAGTGTAGCATGAATAATACCTTGAGTTTAATCTCAACTAATACCCCTGCCATAATAAAAGATGACAGGACAGCTCTTGACAAACTGGACAGAACTTATCAAATGGAGCTGTTTTCATTATAGGATATATATATATATATATATAATTTTTTTCATTGTCCGTGAGATTCTAGTAGTTGTAAAATCACTTAAATGTCAGTCAGCCTCCTCATGACTTCTACCCAGTCCTGTAAAGCCCTGTTTTTGTTTATTATTAATATTTCTAGAGAACTTGTCATTTTGTCCAGGTGGGTTTCATCTATGATTACGTGAAGGCTATTCAGTCTATAACTAGGCATTTTGTAAAACTTGTGAAGGCATTTTCTTTTGTATTGTTAATGGTTGTGAAGATACACTGTATAAGCATTTCTTTTGGGATTTCTAAACATACTCGGTGTTAAAAAGTATAAAAGTGCTGAACTGAATGGTACTTAATATAAGAAAAAAATGATAATATGAGTATGGGAATCATCTGTTTACAGTCCAGTTTTTTATTCTTTCTGGAACCAGCATTCCAAAGTCCTAGGTATTGAAACTTTGACAGGTCCTCTTTTCCCAGTCAGTCAAGGTCACAGACTGTCCAGCTAGCTTTGGGACAGATCAGAGAGTAAACTCCAGCTCTTGAGAGAGTTAGAAACATCATGTTTAAATCTGTGGCCTAAAGGGAGCTTGAGGAACATGATTCTTACTTAAGAGCCCCAAAGAATATTAACTCCTGGTTGACAGTTTGCCCAGAGGAAGCCTAGAGCAACCCCTAGAGAAGACTCTGATGTGTTTTCAAGGGACTGGTCCAAGTCCCTCCAGCAGTTATTTTCTATTTTCACGATTTTATTGAGGTATAATTGATTGACAGATCTGTAATGCTTTATCCTCTCTGTGATAATTATACATTTTATAGTAATTGTGATTGAATATATATGTTAAACACATTTTATACTTTGTCTCATTTTATCCTCACAAATAACTGTGAGGCTGCCCACTCAGTGAATGTCCTGAAGCTGAAAGCAACTTGCCCCAAGAATATAAAGCCAGAAGATTGTCAATAGATCTGGTTTTGAGTCAGCTTCCTCAGCAGCCCTGGGAGCCAGGATGCAGTTGTTTTTAAAATGTATGAGTTTCTGCTTAAGTTGTTAAGTCTGGCTGGTTAATCCTGTGAGTTAACTCTGTGAGTGCTAAGGTAGCACCTCTGCTTCTGGTGCTTCTTAGGACCAGCTCTTACTATTTCATTACTGCCTCCTCATAACCTGAATGTATTAAACACTCAAAAATATCTCACTTTCTCCTCAGGATTCCAGAGAAACTTTGACCAAAAAAGACGGTTTTCTTTACCTAGAAACTGCAGTATGATGAAATGCCCAGTGGTATTTCACTGTCGGCTTTTGGTGCTTTCCCTTCAGAGGGGAGTCTGTAGTCACTTGAGCAGTTTGGTATCCTTGTGATGTCCCTGCATTCATCTTGACTCCTGTAGCATAGTCTGCCTTTTGGAAAGAAAATAGACTTTCTCTTGGTAAATTGTTTTGGTGGATAATTTGTTTGAAATGGGTTGCTGGCACATTCTTAAGGAAAATGTGTTTTTGCCAGCAATTCATTGATTCTATGGGAGAAAAGATAGGTTGTTATCAGTTGGAAAACATGAAAGTCAAAGCCACACTAGGTGGAGTCCTTACAGGATAAAGGCCCCTGTATCCCCAGGGCATCTTGAAAACTTGATCCCTTTGAGGGTTCCAGTGTCATACACGTATAACTTTTTAATTTTTCAAATAAAGTTGAATTAATTCTTTGTACTGAACCAACCACTTTGTTCTCTTAAAGATGATGGGGTTTGGCAGCATGCAGGTGAGCTGTAAAAGCCCTGGTGCCCTTAGGAGCTTAATGTGGTACAGGTTTAGTGTTCAGATCAACCTGGTCCTGTGGCACATATTACTTGCATTTTATAGACTCCTGGGTTTCAGTAGTGATATGCATACACTTGCAACAAACTACCTAGAATTAACACAGAAAGGGAATTGCACCAGCTGAGTGGAAGAGGACATTGAAAGGGAATAATGAAAAAATAAATTACCATTAAGAAGTAAAATATATTACTGGCTTGTCACCTGGAGAGAGTTGCTAATTAAATTATAAGGTCATACTTCCATCAAATGAGCAACTTTTTTAAAACCCCTCACTTCCGGTGGGTGGCAGATCTTCAGCAGCATCAGAAAGTGTCGGGCCCATCTGTGTGATTAATTGGTGATGGGATTGCTTCACTTTTTGTCAGTTGATATTTTTGCCTATGTTCCTTTGTGGAAAGCTTGGAAGAAGGGTGGAAACAATGCTAACTGGTAATCTGAGAAGCAGAATAGGTTATTGGGCACCTGATGTACTACGTATGGGGAAAAACTATTATGTACTTTTACTACCAGATGAAATGTGCCATTGAAAAGTATCTTCCCAGTGAAGCCAGGGTAGCAAAGGGATAGAATCACTAAAATCTGAGATACTAAAATACCAATAATCACTTTGGAAGGGGGAGATATTCGATTGCCTTACTGGACTTGAAACAAACAAAAGCCCATCTTTGCTGTTTTCCTCACTGAGACACACTGGAAGCCCTCCTGAATGCTTTTGGGTCAGTGGTAACTCCCTGTGGCCAGGAATGGGAGGCGGTGGAGTACTCAGCAGGATAGTGGAAAGCACAGGTCTCCCAGAGGGCCTACATGGGTAAGCTGGTTTGTACCTGCCACCCTGGACAGAGACTTTGTTCCTCGAC